CCTACAAGTCCTGCCTAGCCTCTCCTGCCTAGATATTGGAAATTCAACTCTTTATTAAACCAGTTAGAAGGAGCTTTGGGCAGGTGAGTTAAACAGAGACACATCTTCACACAGTGTAATCAAATATCCAGTAACAATCCAGGATATTCCAGAGCTATTACACAGAGAACTCTTATCTCAAAAAACCAAAAAGAAAAAAAATCTTGTTTTATTTTTAATTATTGCCAAATGATCATCTTCCTATACAAATTCTTTAATCCCTATTTATAATAATTTCCAGGGATGGAATTATTTTATGTTTTATTACTTAAAATAATGGGTTTCATTATGGCATTTTCATACATATATTTTATTTTGTTTCATTCTTATTTAAATTTCAGCAGGGCACATAGGGTTATTGGCAGGTACATGGATCTCCCTGGGAGGGAGAAATAGATTTGATGGGGGCAAATTGGGATGCAAATGAGAGGACCAAATGGAGACGGGGGGGTGAGCTAGGGCTAAGCAAGGGAATATGGAAAGAGACAGCTAGAATTGAGGAGCATTTGAGGGTTGATATGGACAGCTAATACAGAGGAAACTCCTTAAAACACAGGCAGGCATTCCTAATGAGGTCTCCTGATAATGGAGGTGACAGAGTCCCAACTAGCAATCTCTTGTCACCAAAGTATTATCAGAACTGGGTTTATTCAGTTGAGTTGTTAGCCAAGAGGATCCCATAGAAATCCATAAACAACTCAGGCTGTTCTCAGGACAATGGATTGCTCTCCCCAAACTCACTATGGGGCCCCATTGCCAATAACAATACCCACACAACTCACTGAACATGGAGAAGTTGAGCTGGAGCCCAAATGGAGCCTTTACCCCTACATTCTAGTGCCTTAGGTGTGGAAGGTACTCTTGCAAACTACCAAAAGAGAAATGTAAACATTAACCCAGCCACAAAACCTTTGACCTACCATCTGTCCTGCCTGCAAGATATGCTAGGGCTTGGTGGCACAGAACTCGTGGGAGTAACCAGCCAACATCTGACTTGGCTGTGCATGAGTTTGCTGGGGAGGATATCCTCTTCTGTCTATACGCAACATGCATGAGAATGGCACAGTTTTCAGGAAGTAGTTTCTTCTTGGTTCCAGCTTTCCAGCTTCAACATTTCCTTCTCAGGATGCAGCATTTTACTTCCTATATAAACAGGTAGCAGAAGGAGGACACTGTTGGTTCAAGAGAGGAAAGCCAAGTTGGATCCCGTGTCTCAGTTTTACAAGACTACAAGAAGAAAAGGGATTGTTCTGGGTTTAGGGAAGAATAAACAACAGCTTTGTCTCTGCAGGGTCCCCCCTGCAGGTAGAGCTGGGGAAAGGCTGGTCTGGCTGGTCTCTTCCCAGGGCTGAGCAGGATAGTGAGTGTGGACAACTCAGATCCTCCCCCCATTAGTTACCAGGGAGAAAAAACACACACTGAGTCGGGAGTCTTTCAAAGCAGGATCTCAATTTATTCCAATAGGCAGGAACTTATATAGGACTGAGGTAGGGGATGGGAAATATAGGATAGGGTAAGGTGACTTGAGGATTAAGGGCCAATAGTATTCCACCAAGCAGGCAGGTAGTTAGGCAGGGGGCTGAGCCACCCCCCATGTGGAGGTTACAGGTTAAAGACAAACTCTAGCCAGGCTCAGGAGCTTACACTGGGGCTCTCATCGGAGCCTTTCTTAGGCCCAACGTGTCTCTGTGTTATTCTGCTTCATCTTTGCTTCTTTTGACTCTTAGCTTCATCCTTCTGTATTAATTTCCCAGGATTTTGGAAGAAAGGAGAACTGCCAACTGTAGAGGGTCCACGCCCTTATGAATACAGTGGAAAGTGTGTTTTACCCCGTTTCAGCTTTAAAAAAATATATCAGGGAAGTACTCTGCGGCTTAAGCTAATTATTATTCCAGTCCTTACTAAACTACTGTAGCCTGGCAATCAAAGTGTTATGATTGGTTTTGCTTAGATCTGGGGTCACCTCTTGACATTTCAATGGAGGTTGTGGTTATTGGGTCATATAGAAAGTAGATAGACAGTTCTCTAATCAAGTGATTAGAGAAATCACTTACCTTAAAGGGAAATTGGGTATAGTCACAGGAAGAATAATATATATCTAATAATAAATATCTAATATTCTATGAGTTGATATGAGAAAGACATCTGAAAAGAAACTTTTGAACAAATCAGGTAAAAAATATAGTGAGTGGAGATGGAGAAATGATTTGATATTAGAACATTTAAGAGGTGCCATTCATGGAGTTATAAAATACAGTAGCTGTGCTAAGTAAGACACTCTTTTTTGACCCTTTTGTCTTTTGCTTCCTGGGATAGTATTTTGTCTTATTACTATATGCATGTGCTTTATTTACATAGTTATTGCCATTTGTTCAGTCATCTGAATATTTTCTATCTAGGACAAAGTATAGGACATATGGTTATTGCCTGTTGTGTTCTAAGTGATTAAACACAAAACTACTTTCTTAAATGCATCTGTGACTTATCAGCATACATAATCAAGTGGACATAAAAAGGCAGTATCCATGGATATTGAGCAGGCTGGATAATGGCCATGGGAGCAGTAATGTCATATTACCTAAGCTAGTGGGAATTTTCAGGTAGGAATTGAACCTGTGTCTGACAGTAGTGGTAATGCTAGGGCTATAGCATCATACTTGTTGGCAATAAGTAGAATTATTGTGTTCAAATAATACATCCCACAAAAGAAGATAGTTTAATAGGATTATAGATCTATAATATAGGCTTACAATAGGCACAGACTATAGATTTATCTTTATATTGGCTAATGCAATACTGACCCACACTTTCATCAAGATTCATACAGCAACATGTAATATTTCTTCGTGTAAGAGACAGAGAAGAGATAGAGTTGTAGTTTACTTGAAAAGTCCAAGTTATTTTCTGGGCAACATGCAGTGATTGCTGTCACAACTCACAATAGCTAAGGATGCCAACATTGGGTCTGCATAAGAATGGGGCCCCTCAACATTCAGGAATGGATGGAGGATGGAGGCGAGGTTTCAGAGACCTGCCCCTTGCTGCTGAACTGCCTGTTAGAATCAGAATGTGGGCTAGAGAGTGTAATCATTGCCTTCAGTTGTGTATCTATCCACCCAACTCCAATAGGTCATTCCAATCTACTGGTCACATAGATGGCCTTGGTTAAATGGGTCACAACTTAAAACCAAAGTTGGGATTCTGAGAAAGGGACTGGTGGAGGTGGCGGTGGTGACAGGAATAAAAGGGAAAAAATAGAGTAACCAGTGTATGTATATATAATGAGATTTTTATTTGAAACAAAGCTATGTCAAAATTAGTGCAGTACTCTTAAGAGTCAGCAGAGCCTCCCTTATAAAAACCACCTATTTGTGACAGAATGTGTGTTCAAATTCTTCATGTTGACATCTAGGACTGTGCTGGTTTGTTTTTGTCAAGTTGACACAAATGTTGAGATATTTGGGAAGAAAGACTATCAGTTGAGAAATTGCCTCCATCATATTGGCCTATAGGCAAGTCTGTGTGGCAGTTTCTTGGTTGATATGAGAAGGGCAGCTCACTGTGGGAAGTACCACCCCTGGGCAGGTGTCCTGGGTTGTATTGGAAAGGAGTGTTGGCACAGGCCTTTAATCCCATCACTGCGGAAGCAGAGGCAGGCAGATCTCTATGAGTTTGAGGCTAAACTGGTTTACATAGCAAGTTCCAGTCCAGTCAAAACTACATAGTGAGACCCTGTCTCAAAAAGCAGAGGGGGGGGTGAGGGGGGAAAGTAGGAGAGAAGAGGAGGAGAAGAAGAAAAATGAAAAGAAAGAAGATAGCATGGAAGTAAGGGGGGAGGGAGAGAGGGAAGGCTAGAAGGAAAGGCTATACAAGCTATGAAGAGCAAGCCAATAATCAGGGTTCCTCCATGGTCTCTGTTTCAGTTCCTGCTTCAGTCTCCTGCCTTGAGATTTATACACCAACTTCCCTTCATGATAGAGTATAAACTTGTAAACTGAAATAAATCCCTTTTGGCCCAAGTTTCTTTTGGTCATGGTATGTCTTAGTTATTGATCAATTGGTTTGAAGACATACCATGACCAAAGCAACTTATAAAAGAAAAACATTTAATTAGGGAGTGGGCTACAGTTTCAGAGGGTTAGTCCATTTCCATTATGGCAGGAAGCTTGGCACTGGAATGGGGCAGTAGCTGAGAGCTTACATCTGATCCTTAAGCCAGGGATAGAGAGAGGGAGACTGGACCTGGTGTGGGCTTTTGAAACGTGTAAGTCCTCCCTAAATGACACACTCCCTCTTCCAAGGCCATACACCTCTTCAATCCTTCATAAACAGTTCATCAACTAAGAACCAGACTTTCAAATACAGGGGCCTCTGAGGTCCATTTTTATTTAAACCACCACAGTGTATATCACAGGGGAAAATGAAACAAACAAGGACACAGGCCTTCAGTTGGGGACAATCTCTCTCTTCTTGTTGATATTCGTCTTCTCTGAGACACTCACACTTTTCTGGCTTTATGTAAAGTCTATCATCCTCCTTCAGGATTTAAGAACAATACACACTTTCATTCCCCCTTGAAATCTCTGCCCACCTTTTCAGTCATTTGACTTTTTCCTTTTATATCCAGTATCTTGTCATTTTACTTCTTGGTAGTGTTATTTCAAAGTCATTTGATTTTCATCACTAGATTTATTGGGGCCTTAAAGGCAAAATAGTAGCTTAAAAGCTTTTTGCATTGTTCTCAGACCATCATTGATATTCTTGAAGCATTTACCGAGAGAGTCAAATGATTAAGTGTGGTGATCTGTTCAGGGATTTACTTACTCTTTCTTACAGAGATACGACATTTTCCTTATTTGGAGTAGAAACAAATAACACTGATATTGAAAATTTGTATTTCTTAGAAATGTAAAATAGTTTTAAATTTTTATATCTTGAACCAATTTGTTCTTCATTTTTAGGACTGTTGGGAAAGATCTTAATAGCTATTCGAGATGCATGTTTTAAAATCTCAGCGATGCAGATGGTGAGTGGTTTGCAATGAGCCATCATGTATGGAAGGATTATTTTTTAATGAGCCTTAAAATGTGTTTAACTGAATGTTCATCATGCACTTGAGATTTGAATTTATTAAAATTAAAGACATACAAATTCAATAACCTGGCTGGATCTGGTAGAGTAGGCCTTTAATCACAGCACTCTGGAAGGAGAGGTAGGTATGCATTTGAGGCCAGCCTGATGTGTGTGGTGAGTTCCAGGCTAGACAAAAATAACACAAAACAAAACAACAGCAATGAAAAACTGAACTCAAAACTTCATAATAAAAGCATGTTTTAATTATTTAATCTATATGGTCATTTTTTAAGATACTAATATTCAAATGATAGACCTGATTTAAGCTTCAAAGTTTCTTCATTTCTTGGAACTTCAGCTGAAAAGAGGGAACAAAGACTATTTCTGTCTTACAAATGACAAATAGGATCTAAGTGAGGTGTGTCAGTGAGCATTCCGTGTTCTAGGTTTCTTAGCAAATGGTGCAGAAGGAGGTGATGTGAGTTCAGATTCCCTTGGCACTCTGAGCCTGGGGCTGGTTTCTAAACTGTCCCTCAAATGTTAGTGTATTTAATCTCCCCCATAGCTCTTAAGCCTCAGGCCCATACTCACCTAGAATTGCCTCCTCGGACATTCTCAGAAAGTCCTTGACTGGAGCCATAGCGCATAGTTTGGTAACCGTGGATTCCTTTGTACTGTTCTCCCTGGTACATTTGACAAGAAATCATTATAAATAATGTGAACCTATTGATTATAGGGGTATTATAAGATAATGGTAAATGCAATTGTTGATGTCTAGAGCCAGAGATAGTATTTTCAGAACCTAGACTCAACAGTTTTCTAGGCATATGACCCTGGTCAGGCATCCTTACCCTCAGTTTCTCTAGGCCATGGCAATGTTATTATTTGCCACTGTGGGTTTGTGCTGTAGATTAAATAGACTTTTATTAAGTTATGTTTTATGTCACACTTTGATGCACTAATGGTATAAAGCATTATAATCAAACAGACTTCCCTCCCTGTTAACAGTAATGCTGCCTATGCCGGTCAATCCTTCTGATGTGTGTTGCTGACTGTGTAGACTGTCACTTCTCAGTGATCTCCAGGCCTGAAAACACTGGAGAAGCAAAGGAAAAGGGGCAAAGTTAGGGTTCAGATGCCCTTTCTTTAAATTAATGTTTTAGTTAGTGAAACTGTTAAACATAACAAAATTTTATCCATAATTGAATTTGAAACAAACAACTTTTTAAGAAGTTGTTTGGATGTGTTTTATAAACATGTATGTCTTATTCATACTTGTTTTTGATGGCTAGAAGGAAGTCCAGCCCACATGTCTAAGTGATTTGTTACAAATCAGTATTAACAATTTTTCCAAATGCTTGAGAGGGCAGAAGTATAGCTTTCCATTTTCTCCACAAGCTCCAAGGGATCTGTGCTTACTTTCCTTGTATGTCCAATCTACCGATAAACAGCATCATATTGTCTATGCCTCATTTGAAATCCTATCAAGAATAGGGTTTCATTCTAAAAGTTGTAAAATAGTGGATGAGTGCATGGTCAGTGGTGTCCGATTCTGGGAGTGACAGAGGCCAATTTGGAGAGGTCTCGTGGTACCTCTAAGTCTTAGCAGTGGCATGCTAAGTACTTGTGCCATAGGATTGTGAGAATTATATGAGATGATACATGTATAAAACTCAGTCATGTATTGCATGTTATATATTCAGTAAACAATAATCAATAAGCAATAAAGTGATTATTGATCAGCTGGTCTTTAGTAATGCTTCTTCAAATAATAAAATATCGAAAACCTACATTTTGAAGTTAAAAGAAGACAGGTATGGTGGCAGGTAGCTATAATTCCAACACTTGGAATGCTGAGACAGAACAGTTAAAAGTTCAAGGCTATCCTGAGTTTCATAGTGTGTTTGAGACCAGTGTGGAGAAAAGATACCACATAGCAAAAAGTAAAAGTATGTGTCTAAGGAATGATAAGTGCTTATGCTAACTTTAACTCACATGATTGGCTTACTTTTTTTTTGTAGTTTAATATGGATCGGGCTAATGTTGAAGAATTCTATGAAGTTTATAAAGGTGTAGTGCCTGAGTATAATGTAAGTATCAAAATCATTGTAAAATAATGCAACTGAAAGCAGTGTGTGCGTTTCAATCTTGGAAATCTGAAAATTATTGAAAGTATTTTGAAGAGTGAATTATTAACCATATATCTGATAGAGAATTAATGTCCAATTCTATTAAGAACTCAAACAACTCAATAGTAAGATGACTGACAACTAACCTAATTTTTAAAACAAAGAGCCAGGTAATGATGCATGACTTACCTAATGCTTGGGAGGTAGAAGCAGAGGGATCAGGATTGAGGATGGAAGTGAGCAGCATAGTGAATCCTATCTCAAAGGGGGAGAGAGAGAAATACAAAGAATCTGAAATGATATTTCTTAAAAAAACAAATGTGACTGTCTAACAGATGACTGAAAGATGTTCAATATGGGACTGATGAGAGGATTCAGTGGTTAAGAGAACTTGTTGCTATTTCAAAGGGCCTAAGTTCAGTTCCCAGGATGCCAGTTATTTACTCTTTTAGAGCTTTTATTAGCCCATGCATAGAATGATAATGATGCAGTATTAGAAGATTGTTGTGAGAACTAATTCAAACAAATTATGTAAAGTGATCTCTTCATTGAGAGTACTTGATGACTATTTGCTGCTGCTGTTGGTTTTGTTACTGTTGAGTTTAGTAATAGTCTTTCATAGTGGATTTTTTGTTGATAATTTATGCTTGCATTCAAATTTAACTTCAAAATTATCTTAAAAAGGATGATAATCTTGACCTTATCATGATAAGAGCATATACTGATTGAACATCTACTGTAGACTTTACAGTTTTGTGATAAAGACACATGATGTGCATTAATAGAAGTTAGGTTTCAGTAAGGATAGACATTTACTTCAATATTCCATGTAGAACTGTCTTAGGTCCGCAAAAGGCTCTGAAAAATAAGCAACCACAAGTTTTGAGAAAATTTCTCCTTAACTAAAAACTGGGAGGACCAAAACATTTTGAGTCAATTTTTTTTTTCTGTTTCTTTTCATTTGTCCTCATTTTTTTTTTTTTAAAACAGAGTGGTAAATACAATCTAGTAACAGATCAAGTCCAAACACAGCAGTCAATGGAGAGCAACCTCCCTGGTTTTATTCTGTAGGAAACCCTCTCCCTGCCCAGCTGTCTCCTTCCTACCCACCCAGGCAGGCATCCAAGCAGGCTGTGGGAGAAAGACTGAGCAGTGCCCACCGCACACCATGGTGTTTATAGAGTCAGGAGGGGAGGGGGCTCATTGGTGCAGGTTTCACCAGTGTCACTCCAACTCCACAAACTGGGACAAGTCTAAGGTGATGAGAACAAGGCACAAGGCATCCATTCACCTTGAGAAAAACTGAAGGAGTGCTTAAAATGCATGAATCACGATAAATACTATTTTGATGCAGTATTTTTTAAAACTCAAGAAATGTAAAAAAGAACAAACTTTATGAACAATCAAAATTTAAAGAGACAGGATTTGTCCTCATACTTGTTCAATTTGGGGCTCACTTCTTTCCCCTTAATACCATTCCTGTTATATCCCAAGATTTTGATGTTGTTGGTCAATCTGGTTTTTTTATATTATGTTTATATACTTGGTGGTATGATCCCAGCACTTGCGAAGCTGAAGCAAGATGGTCATACATTTGAGGCCAGCCTAGGCTACAGAATAGGACCCAACTAAGAAAAACAAAAACAAACAAACAAAAAACTCTTCAATTTCTGTATAGACCTTTAAATTAGACACCTGCCAGAAATGCTTGTCTCAGATTAGGCTCCAGCCTAAAGAAACCTGGGTGTGGTGACTCACACTCAGACCCCACAACTCCAAAGACTAAGGCAGGAGGGTGGCTATAAGGTGGAGGCTAGCCTGGACTACATATAGCAAGTACCAGGCTGGCCAGCCTTGAGTCAATTTTTAAAGAAAGACATTATGTGTTTGGTGGCATTCTTTGCTTGGTGTCTGTTCTTTCTTCTTTTTTGCTCATTTGGAGTAGGCTATATATCTGCTGTTCTGTTGACTGCTGCCAGCAGTGACACAAAGAAAGAGACACAGACAAAGAAGGAAAGGAAGGAAGAAAGGCAAATTTTTTTTCTCCTTTTCAGGGAGTGTTTGATGTCTTCTGACTGAGAACTTGGCATGTTATGTGTAGGCAGTACTTTAACAGCATGAAATAGAAAATCAAATCCAACACAGTTATGTATAAAAATAACAAAATGGCATTAGGGTCCATTTAGGTATTCTAAATAGGGTTATATGTATCACATTACTTATGAAGCCCTTCTAACTCTGTCATTTCTATTAGGTACAGTGACAGTGGGTAATATTTAAATATGTCCTATAATAAGTTAATTTAGTTTGGCCTTGTACATTATAAATGCACTGAAGTCACTTGGACTAGCATGGCCTACTATAATCCAGCCTCGTTTCTCACTACCTTCCCTCACTCTGCTGCTGGGTTTGACTCACCTTCAGAAACCCCTGGTTGGTCTTCCTCAAAGTCTCTATTTATCTTCACTTTTACGTAAGTGCTTTTCAGTGTTGACAAGAAAGTGAAAAGATGTGTTGAGTGTTCCAGACACCGTGAGAAAGCGCTTTTCTCCAATCCTGTTCTTCATTATGTCATTTCACAGCAAGTTAAAAACCTTTATCCTAGGCATTATTTTATCATTTATTTTTATATGTGTGATAAACAACTAATATTTTTCTTTAAATATTATCTTTTTCCTGTTTTTTATTGAATTTTTTTGGAATTTCACACATGCATGCAATGTATTTTGATTTATTTTCCCCACTACTTCCCTTAACTCTTTCCAGACCCCCACCCCCAAGCTCCATCTCCTTCCCAAAATCAAAACAAACGAATAAACACCCACTGTCCTGAGCATGGTAACACATTCCTTCAATCTCAATACTCAGAAGCAGAGACCAGACGGGAGATCTACATAGCAAGATCCAGGCCAGTACCTGCTACATAATGAGATCTTGTTTCAAAAGTAGGAACATACATACATGCATACATACATACATACATAAGAGGCCATTCACCTGGGACTATGCTCTTAAACAAACAAAGAACAACAAAAACATCTAATATATTTCTTTGAATAATTATCTTTTTCTGTTTTAAATATATTTTATTTAATTTTCCTGTAGTTTCATACATGTATGCAATATGTTTTGATTATATTCTCCCTACTCCTCCCCTTAACTCTTTCCAGGTCCTCCAAAGCCCCTACTCTCTTCCCCAGAAGCCATCAACTGCCTTTAACTCCTTAGCTATACATGAGAGTTTATGAACCCTTGAGTAATTATCTTTAAGGCAACAAAAAAAGAAAAGTGTTTTATATTTATCCACATGTACTCCTGTTTTGTGTAAGTCCATATTTTCTGTTTGTCTCTCTCTTCTTCAGAAATTTAACATTTTGCTGTTTATTCTTTGAGAATTTCATACATATTTACAATGTGTTGACCATGTCTTATAGACAGGGATTCTGGTATTGAAGTGGTTCTTAATCTTCCTAATGCTGCAACTTTTTAATACAGTTCCTCATGTTGTGGTGACCCCCAAGCATAAAATTATTTCATTGCTACTTCATAACTATAATTTTCTACTGTTATAAATTGTAATGTAAATATTTATATATAGGATATGTGACCCTTGTGGGAGTCATGATCCACAGGTTGAGAACCACTGTGGTATTGACTTCTCACAGTTCATATTTGTCTGAAGAACTTTTTCTGTGTCTTTGTTTTAAAAATATGCTGTTATTTGGGCACATGTTTAGACAGGCAGGCCTTGTCATGCCACTGCTATTGTCTGTCTTTGCTCTCCTGTATTGTTTTGCTTTGTTTTTCTTTTAGATTTTGTTTTGTTTCTTGCTAGTTGTGATGGACTCTCTTATACTTTTCTTCCAGTTTTTTTCCCCTTTCATAATTCTTTGTTGGACATGTTTATGGGTAGAAATTTGGAAAACTTTTATGAATCATTTCCTGAGATAGTTCTCCGTCAGCTGGTCTTCCAGCATACCATGGTAGATAGTGTGACATTGTCCCACAATGCCTTCTGTTTTTCTTCATTGTTGGTTCCCTTGCTTGTGTTGAAGCAGTTTCAAGTACCTATTTCAGATTCACTGATCTGTACTGTCGTGGCCTGCTCTCCCATCCAAAGCATTTTTTAGTGACGTGTCTTTGATTTCATTTCTAGGTTTGAATCTTCTGTTACTTAATTTTTCCTTATAATGTCTGTTTCTCCTATAACTTAAGCGTGCAGGCTCATTTATAACAGCTGTAGTAGCGATTTTGTGCTCATTACGTTGCACTTGTCTGCTGGGTCGATGTCTACTTGCTAACTGTTGTTCTTCTATTGGCTTGTATTCTCCTACTACTTCTCATGCTTGGTAATGATAACTGTCTTATAGTGTGTTGAGTGTGGTGAAATGGATTGTTTCCCGTAACGAGTGCTGGGATTTGTTCTGCTTTTCAGTTGAGTGACTTTGGTTCAGTTTGACTCTGTCTAGTCTTGTTTTTAAGCTTTGTAAGGTGGGGAACTATCTGGCTTCAAGAGTCACAGTCCTTTGGCCCCTACCATTCAATACATGGAAACTAATTATTTTTTTTCTAGTTTGTAGATGTTATTCCTTGTTGCTAACTACATTATAGGTTTTTAAAGATCCTCCAGGAGAAACACCACTATTTATATTTTAGGAATATCAGTTTAATGAAAATGTGCTGAAGAAAAGAGGGGATCTGGAAGGAAGAGAAGCTAGAAATGATTTTAGGTGATGAGAGGAGTCAAACACGGCCTTAAAATGCTAATGATACTAGAAGTAAAGGTGAGGTGATGAAGCAAACTCCTTTGAAGCAAAGGTAGCCATAGTGCAAAAAGTGCAAATGTCCAGGACACACATGGGAATACGTCAGAGGTGGCCATTTTCAGACTGGAAATAGTAGGAAAGTAGTGCAATGAAAAGAATCGAGGTAAAATATTCAGTTCTTTTAATTCCTTTGTTTTCTCTTACATTGTATATCCAAGGATATGGTGACAGAAATGTGCTCTGGCTCTTGTGTGGCAGTAGAGATCCAACAGAATGATTCTACAAAGACATTTCGAGAATTTTGTGGACCTGCTGATCCTGTAAGTTTTTAAACTATTGCTTTATTTTTTGTCATGAATTAACTAAATATTTTGTTCTTTTTTTTTTTTCTTTTTTTTTTTTTGGTTTTATGAGACAGGGTTTCTCTGTATTGTTTTGGAGGCTGTCAGTCCAGCCCAGCCTCGAACTCACAGAGATCCGCCTGCCTCTGCCTCCCGAGTGCTGGGATTAAAGGCGTGCGCCACCACCGCCTGGCAAATTAAGTAAATATTTTAACAAGTTCAATTTTTAATTTTTTATCTTATAAATTATATGAAGTGAAATGTGCAAAAATTGTTCAAAATAGTGTTTTACAAAAGAGTAATTGTTATTTGCCTAGAGACAATAGAGAATGGATAGAGTATTATTTACTATGGCACTGTTTTCTTCTTTCTATTTGCTAAGTTATGAGTCAAAGCAAATAATTCTGTAAACTTTGAAATAAAATTTTTCAAAGATATTATCCTTTCAAATAGACAGGGTATAGAACTAAATATGAAAATATAAATATGGTGGCTTTTTTCTAGATACATAAAAAATATGAGCAGTTGAACTTGTCTAAGTGAGATATAACAGTGATATATAATACATGTATACAGAGCTTCTAGAACAATTGGACTCTCAGTGGAAACTACAAATAAATACCAAACAATTGGTAGTTGGCAAATTCAAGTGTTGAAGAAGTGTGTGGTAAGAGAGCAGCTAATGTAAGGGCAATTTTAAGCCATGCTAGAGGAAGAAAGAGTCGAAGGAAAATTCACGTGCAAGGAAGATAGGAGGATGTGAAAGGGTGTGTCACAGGTCCAAAGACAGCAGTGAAGGACCCGGAGCCCTCTCTGATGCACAACCAGATTACTTCCTTGGCTTTGGTGAAGTGCATTTTTGGAAGCATGAGGAGATAAGTATTTTCCTAAGTAGAGGAAATAAGGTAGAAAATGTATATATTAGAGGGTTTTTTTTTATATGTAACTCAGTTTTAAGAATTATTACAGGATTTTTTTTTTTTTTTTGGTTTTTACGAGACAGGGTTTCTCTGTATTGTTTTTGAGGCTGTCAGTCCAGCCTGGCCTCGAACTCACAGAGATCCGCCTGCCTCTGCCTCCCGAGTGCTGGGATTAAAGGCGTGCGCCACCACCGCCCAGCTCAGGACTGTTTCTTTGGTACAACTGAAACAAATTAAATTGAAAGAGATTAAAGAAGGGGATTCTAGAAGTAAAGAAGGACAGATTGACAACGTCAAGAAAGCCAACAAAGCCTCCTTTGTATTTTTTGGGGGGAAAGGGTAGAAATTATACATGGGTTGTGAAAGGTGATGCTTAGTGTAGAGAACACTGGGAGAGAGTGGTGCTGATGCTGTGTGTTTCCTGAATGTCAGTCATAAGAAGTTAGGAAAGGGTAACTTTGACCTGAGGAGAAAGCCATTCTTGTTGATTTTAATTTCTGCTTCTTGTTTGATAGCCAAATGGGACTTTTAATTTTTTGAGAAAATTAAAATCTGAATGATCAGCTGACCAAATAGGAAATATTAGAGAAATAAAATTAACAAAAAAGAAAAAATTAAGCTTTAACATTGTTTCATTCTCTCATATACACAGTAAATAATTATTGAGCCTGTACTGGCACTGGTGGATATAAAGATAGAGGTCTTCCATTAGGCAAAGTGGTGCACATGATAGTCTCAGTATAAGGTGGGAGGGTCATTTGTTTCTCCTGGAGGACCTTTAAGTGGTTAGTTTTCATGCATTGTAACTCTCCCATTGCTAAATATTTACAAGTGAAATGGAAACTCAGAATTTTAGCATAGGTAGCTCAGCCTAAGGACGGGTAGCAAGGAAGCTTACCGAAGAGCGTGTCATCTAGCGGAATGTGATGAATGAGCAGGTGATAAAGGTGAGAGATGATGTGGTTAAAGTCCTTGCTGAGAGGAAAGCATCACTTCACAGCCAGCTCTTCCTTTCTTATGGTATTCAAGGACAGGCTGGAGATGGCAGGAAGTGCTCACTGAGGAAGAATTGGAGAGTGAGCACGTGGATATCCTGTAGACATGACAGTACTGAAAAGAAAAGCGTGCTGATTCTCTTCCTTTATAGGTATTTACTCAGTGAACATTTTTTGTTGGAGTAGTATGAGCAAGCTGCTAGGTTCTGTGGCTGGGGCATGGTGAGAATAGCTAAGCTGACTTCTTGTTCTTTCAGGAGCCCAGTCTCACGGTTTAGTTTGGAGGCTTTCATGTTCTTGGATCTTGCCTCTAGAAGGTGTAGTTGGGATTACTCCACTGTGCGTTTTGATTTTGTGTTTTTCATTTTCATTGTTTATAAACTGACACTAGATCTTAATAAGTACATGTGTCATACTGTATCAGAAAATGTGATTAAAATGTTGAAATATCAATCCTACATATTTGCATTTTCACATTTGGCCTTGGGAAAAATTCATTGACTTCATCAGATTTCAAAATGAGACTGGGACAAGGTAAGATTGAGAATCCTTGTCCTAGAGAACAGGAGATCAACAGGGTTCCAATAAGCATTCCTGGAATTAGAAAATGTTTTACACTTTGTTCCTTTGCTAACAGTAATCTTCCCTTCTCTGACCTATTCCTCTAAGATATCGTTTATAATACATCAGCAAATCCTTCTTGTTCACTCTTAACTTCTGATCCTACTCTCATGCTTATATTACACTATTATGTTAATTAATTGGTTGTTTGGGTGGACTCATTCCTTCTTCATTTGCGAAGTGTTTTGTGGAGTCCTCTTGTACATTCAGCACTTCCCTAAAAACTGGAGATACTGCGGTCAACAGACCAGGCAATAGCCCTTGCTCTCATAGAAGTTACAGTCTACTGGAAGGAACAGACCATGAACAGACCTTAAAAAGTGTAGTACACTGAGAGGGTATCAGAGCAGCAGCAGGGTCTTACATTTCCATTGACTGTGTCTGCCTTCTGTGGGGGCCAAGAGCAGAGGAGGAACGGTACATAATGCATAGTTGCTTTGAAGTAGGTCTCAGCAACAGTCACCTGCAAATGCTTCTTGTTTCGTCACCAATAAAACAAACAAACAAACAAACAAAATAACCCTATATGATGCGTATATCAGCTAATGTGGTTGTGCTTCTTAGAATTGCGCCTAGCATGCTGTAAGTATTACCAGGTAATTTTCCTTACTTTTTTTGAGTTCTTAGGAAATGCACCCTGAGGTACCACGCCACAGGTAGTGGGCAGGATGGGAAGACTTGAATGAGCTGCTTGGGGGTGACTTTGCTTTTAGATCTTGATTTTATGAAGTGGTTGAGTAAGATAGGACATGCTAAATGCTGCCTTTGGGGTGACAACCTTGTTCCCTTCAGAGGGGCATGTGTTGGTTGTAGTAAAGCTAAAATGATAGAGATTCAAAGACTACTGATATTGCCCCAATTAGGATGTGGAGTATTAAGAAATGAGTGGGGGGAAATATTACACTATATTACAATATATTTATTGTTTCTTAAGTAAACTGCATTGCTTTTTTGTTAAGGAAACAATAAAAGGCATACATTATGCTGAAACAATAAAAAGCATACATTATGCTGAAATAACTATTATTGTGACATTAGTAACATGTGTCTTAGTTACTATCCTATTACTGTAAAGATAAACCATAACCAAGGCAATTCTTATAAAGGAAAGTATTTAAGGACTTGCTTACAGTTTCAGAGACTTAGTCCATCATCATCTTGGTGGGGAGCATGGTGGCAGGTGGGCATGGTGCTGGGGAAGCTGAGAGCTACATCCTGATCAAAAAGCCTACCTCAGTAACACACCTGATGACTAAGCATTCAAATACATGAGCCCATAGGGGGTCATTATTACTCAAATGACAATATGTTTATAGGGCTCTTGTTTTGATCATATAGAACAATCCCATGGTGGATCAGAAAATTCATGGGAAACTTTTTTGTTTTATGATCATCACCCTTCTTGTTGTATGTCTTTTAAGATGGGAAAGAAACTTCTAGTGGAATTATGTCATTTCTAAGGAGAGCAGACTGGCTTAAGGAACTCCTCACATTTAAGATCTTCAACAGGCATACGTTCAAACTCAAATGAAGCCAAGTTGGATAATTATTAAAATCTAATAGTAGCCAAGACATTGCTAGTTTTTCTTGTAATCTGTTATAAGAAGGAAAACTGAAGCTCACAGGCAATGGGAAAATAAATGGAGAGTTAGATCAGAGCTTCCTGGAAGTATAAGAAAACTCCCCCTTTTTAAAAAATTTTTGAATGAATGATTCTGTGTTTTTTTTTTTAAGTAAATATCAAGATTTTGATCTAAGTGGGCAAATGTTACAGAATGGAATTTCTCTGAGGTGAAATGAGGATCTGCCCTTTCAAGTCAAGGGATAGTGTAATAATTAGAATGTAATTGGCCCCCATAATCTCATAGGGAGTGGCACTATTAGGAGGCGTAGCTTTGTTGGAGTGGGTATAGCCTGGTTGGAGGAAGTGTAGCACTGTGATGGTGGACTTTGAGGTATCCTATGTTCAGAATACTGTCCAGCATTTCAGTCAACTTCCTGTTGCCTACAAGATGTAGGACTCTCCCAACTACCTCTTCAGCATAGTGTCTGCCTGCATGACGCTATGCTTCCTGCCATGATGCTAATGGACAGAATCTCTGATCATAAGCAAGCCATCCCAATAAAATGTTTTCATTTGTGAGAGTTGTTGTGGTCTTGGTGTCTCTACACATCAATAAAAACCCTAAGACAGATATCATATAGCTAGTAAAATTAGAAAATTTAGTTTGAAACATTGGATAGACCAGTATAGATAATAAGGTTACTGAGCTTATAACAAATAATATATTTTTAATTCTTTTTAATTTTTAAATTAGAGTATAAGGTACCTGATTTAGTCTTAACAGTGATTCAGTGAGATACAGATGCCATTATTTACTGATATTATTGTTACCCCATTTTATCTACAAGGAGACAGAGCATAAATAAATCTTCCCAGCTC